AGAGCCATGCACCCAATTCTCTGCCCCTCCTCCGTCTCCTGCACCTCCCCAAACCTCAGTACCCCTCAGCTTTCCCCACCTCAATCCCTGCCCCACCAAATCCCTGTGGCCCCCAAACTCCCTGCCCCCTCTCCTCCCCTGCACTGTCCCATCTCCATTTACCCCCAAACCCTTCTAACCTCTCTCTCTCCCTACCTGATGGCACCTCTCTGTACAATTGACAGGTCAGCATCTCACTGGCTCCATCTGATGATTTCCGGGCTACCCCTGTGGAGAAGGAAGAAGAATCTTATTGTCTGTGTGTGAACGGACGGAAAACAATGTCTTGGGCTGTGACCCCAAAATCTCTGGGTAAGGGACCTGGCAACTCCAAAAACTCAGGATCAGGGACTAATGGATGGGTCCAAAACCTCTGTGTGAGGGTTGGAGCCAAGTGGCTCCAAAATTTCTGGATCAGATACTGGATGGCTCCAACCTCTCTGGAAGGGAGTGATCTGCTGTGAAAAGAGGAAGGCTGGCCTTGTGGCTGAGGCACTGGACTGGACTCAGGACACCTGGATTCAGTGTCCTGCTCTTGGGCAAGTCAGTGTCCCCGTGCCTCAGTTTCCCCACCTAATTACTGCGATGGGGGCCATATAAATACCTGGATTGACAGACTGGTTGGGTCTGAAATTTCTGGAAAAGGAAGATGATGGCTCTGAAACCATGCAGGGGTCTGGGCGGCAGAATCTGAAGACCTGACCCTGCACTCCCCTCCGCTCCATCTTGCCCAGCCCCATTTGGTGTAGCCATTGTAGCCGAGGGGTTGGAAGGCCACTGCAGAGCTGTGCTAAAGTGCTAGCCTGCACAATGTGACTTGAGCTCTGCCCTCTTTAGAGAGGTTTCCATGTAATCAAAGCAGAACACCAAGCGAATGACATTGACAACCCTGTAGCTGCAGTGCCTGGCAGAACACTTAGTTTTCTTTGTTTCAGGTAATGTGAATTTCTCAGTGAGCGCTGAGGCCCTGAAGACGGATCTGCCCTGCGGGAACGAGGTAGTGGAGACCCTGGACAAAGGGCGGAAGGACACGGTGATCAAACAGCTGTTAGTGGAGGTAGGTGGGCTGTTTGGTCTCTGTGGTGTAGAGAAGCCATGATAACTTACTGCTGTGTCGTGACAACTGATGTAATGCTGCAGGTCTTCTTGGTTTTATAGGGAAGCCATAATGACTTAATATGATCTCAGCAATAACACATTCTCTAATGCTGTAAAGGGAAGCACCGATAAATCACTGTATTAGCCAATATAAACTGTAATACTGCATAAGGATAATCTAGGCATAGCCCAATATCTAAACAAATACTTTGCCTCAGTCTTTAATAAGGAGTTTAGGGATAATGGTAGGATGCCAAATGGGAATGAGGATATGGAGGTAGATATTACCACATCCGAGGTAGAAGCCAAACTCAAACAGCTTAATGGGACTAAATCGGGAGGGCCCAGATTATCTTCATCCAAGAATATTAAAGGAACTGGCACATGAAATCGTAAGCCCATTAGCAAGAATTTTTAATGAATCTGTAAACTCAGTGGTTATACCGTATGACTGGAGAATTGCTAACATAGTTCCTGTCTTTAAGAAAGGGAAAAAAACATGATCCGAGCAACTACAGGCCTGTTAATTTGACATCTGTAGTATGCAAGGTCTTGGAAAAAATTTTAAAGGAGAAAGTAGTTAAGGACAATTGAGGTCAATGGTAATTGGGACAAAATACAACATGGTTTTACAGAAGATAGATCGTGCCAAACCAACCTGATCTCCTTCTTTGAGAAGGTAACAGATTTATTTAGACATAGGAAACACAGTGGATCTAATTTACCTGGATTTCAGTAAAGCATTTGATATGGCTCCACATAGGGAATTATTAGTTAAATTGGAAAAGATGGGGATCAATATGAAAATTGAAAGGTGAATAAGGAACTGGTTAATGGGGAGACTACAACAGGTTGTACTGAAAGGTGAACTGTCAGGCTGGAGGGAGGTTACTAGTGGCGTTCCTCAAAGATCAGTTTTGGGACCAATCTTATTTAATCTTTTTATTACTGATCTTGGCACAAAAAGTGGGAATGTGCTAATAAATTTTGCGGATGACACAAAGCTGGGAGGTATTGCCAATACAGAGAAGGACCAGGATATCATACACAGACAACTCGATGTCCAGAGAGCATAGCATCAATTTTTGCCTTTCATTTGATTAACACAGATCT